GCATCGACGGCGTTGGACACTATAGGCTGTCGCCAGATGCCTGCAACCTCACGCCCCCGCCCTCGCGCGCGCTCCCCCGAACCACTTTGTTGACACACAACTTCTGCTTCGGCCCGGTCGATGGGCGCAGGATCTTCTCGAGAAAGGGCATGCGCCACAGCGCCCCATCCGCCTGGGCTAAAGGCTAATGCCATGGGCCATGGGTTGCTGCATATCTGGGCCGCCGTCGCCCATTGCTGGTTTCTGGGACCGCAGGTTGCGCTGGTCCACCAGCATGTCGCCATGCCCTGCATTCGGGCGAACAGCTCGGCCGCGGCGACGGCGCCGCAACCATGCGCCGTGCGGGCAACGGCATCAAATTGCGATCCGCGAACGCTTCCCTTGGCCGCTCCAGCATCGCGGCTCGGGCTCCTCACACATGCCACATGCCCATCCCTCCATTCTCCCATTCTGCCGCGCGGCACAATCTTGGCGCGGGCCCGACGGCCGAGCCGACGCCCGCCAGCTCCTCGATCGCGGCCCTTGGCCTTAGGCCTTGTCTTGGACCCCTGGGCCATGGAGCGCGACCGGCGGCGAAGCTGCAATTCGACGCACTCGGGCGCATTTTCGGTGTCCGCCGCGAGGGCGCGCCAGTGCCCCCCTCGGCTGTTTACTGTTTACCCCGCTGTTGAAATCCGCGCGCAGCGAAACCTCCGCTGCCGAACGCGGCGCGCATGCAGTCGCATGCCGCGCGCGCCGCGTTCGCATCGTCGTCGGCTGGCGGAGCTCGCGTAGGGGCGTCGTCTTTCGGACCCTCGACGGGAGCCAGGGCGGGCCCAACCAGGATCGGCGCAGCCTCAACTCCCATCTTCGCCGGGGCGCAGGAGGGGAGGGGGGAGGAGGGGCGATGGGGAAGGAGGAAGGACGAGGAGAGAGGAGGAAGGACGAGAGAGGGCGGAGAGTGGAGGAGGGGAGGCTGTCTTGCCCCTGGCCCGCCGCTGGCCACGCATGTCCACTGGGTGCAGCTGCGCCCCCAGGATCTGCGCGCGCTGCACGGGCGCTTCGACGCCGTCCGGGTCCATGCCGCGGAGGCGCGCCATGGCATTGCCCATGCCGCACGTTTCGAACCTGCCCTCGGCGCTCACCTTGGCGCGAGGCCCCCCCGCGGCCCCACGTCAGCATCGACGTGATTGGCACAGATGTGCCAGTCGTCTGCTGGATCCGCCCTCGGCTTGCTAGAGCGCCTTGGGCTTGCGACCACCGCGTCTGTGGGGAGAGGGGGATCTGCGGGCGCCTCCGCCAGGCGCGACAGGTAGGCATCCCGCTGCAACGCAGCTCGATGGGCGCTGCCGTGACCGCGGACCCATCCCCAGCGGCGGGCGGGATCTCCACGTCCCCCACGCACGCCGAAAGTAGCGAGCTCTTTCCTGCTCTGGAACGGCCCTTGAACCACGAACATGAACCGCGCTCGAATGGGGCAGGATTCGTGCCCGCGGCGCCCAGCCTGGCAAGAGATGCGCTTGGCCAGCATCCTCGCGAATGCGGGCGGGTTGCTAAATAGAAGTTATCCCAGACCACGTCCTTTGGGAAGATTGCCATTTTCGGACGGGTATCATGATAAAACTGATCCAGCGCAATGTTTTGCCGCTGCCAGTATTGTGGCCCACCGCGATGAGGCAGCCGGCCGCGCGCTTGACTATGCCCGCCCGACATGGCAACTGCTGGCCACTCGGCCGCCCCAGGCGCCGCGCTGCTTCTTGACGACTGGGAGCATCGAGGCCGCGGTGCGCCGCCGTGGGCCGGGTTCGATTTCTGCGGCGCCAGGATTGAGGCACGCGGCGGGGTCGCGATTACAACATTAAACATTAAACATTAACCATTACCCTTGCAACATCACCATTACGGCTGGAAAGGGGAAGGGGAGAAAAGATTTCTGAAATCGCGCGCGTCAGGCGGGGTGCAAGCTTCTCGCGCACCGGAACCAGGACCACGCGAATACAAAAAATACCAAACGCCCAGATGCCAAATGCCAAATGCACAAATGCCAAATGCAGCATGCCAAATGAAGTTGGCGGCAGCAACGAAACGAACCGTCGACTTCAAATGCGGTTTCTTCATACCTCCACCATTTACATGAACTCTCAATCAAAACCATGAACCATAGACCATAGACCATCGACCGTGGGCCATACTTGCCAAGGAACGCGCCAAAATGCGCGGATGCGCTTTTTGCGATTCTCGTCTCTGAGGATGTGGGACGGGTGGAACTCCCTGCGGGGCGCCGTGGACGCGGCGTGCCGAAATGGACGAGGGGGGGCGCGAACCCTGTCCCTGGACTGTAGGTAAAGCTCCTTGCTCCTTGCAGGGCAAGATCCGCGCGAGAGGTGCCAGGAAAAGCGTGGGGGGGGCGCCATGCACCATGCAACCCGATCTAAGAGCCGTAGTTGAAGTTCCGCGAGGGAAACGGTCCGCGCGAGGGGCATCCTGCCTCAATGGTTGGGGGGAATATATGATATATATATATATATATATATGTGTATAATGTATATGTGTATATAGAATATATATGAGACATGCAGCTACGAGTTATGAATTATGTGTTGTATCTGAAGCCTGTCTGTGGTCGTTGGGTCCACGTGCATTGGGGCCTTGGGTGGAGCTCCCTGTGCTTTGCGAGGCGCGATCGGCGTGTTCATGCGAGGGGCGCGCCGAAATTGGCGCGGGAGCGCAATGCGCTATGCGCTGTGCCGGCACTGTCTCTGGGGCCCAATCACTCTGGCGCGCAACGGCTGTCCCATGGAGGCGGGGCGGAGGGAGCGGAAAGCGGAGGGAGGGGTGGCAGGGTGGCGCGGAGGGGAAGGGGGGAAAAGGAGGAGGAAGAGAGAGGAGAGGGCGGTGGAATGACATGGGACAAAGAGACGGGCAGGGGGGGCATAAGGCATAAGGCATAAGGCATAAGCTGCATAAGGCATAGAGCATAATCCAAAAGTCATAGAAGGGAGGGCGGGGAGAAGTTGAAGTGAGAGAGGGCGGAAGAGGATCAACGAGCCAGGGGCAAGGCGGCAGGGTGCAAGGGAGAGAGGGGATGGGGGATGGGGGAGGATGGGAAGGAAGCGGACGTGGATGGGGAGGAGGAGAGAGGAGGAGGAGGCCCCACCTCCTCGTCCTCCTCCTCCTCCTCGCCTTCATTACTCATTACCTCATTACCCTGTCCCCTATTCCCTATTCCTCCTCATGCACTCATCCACCTCCTCGTCCTCCTCCTCCTCTTCCTCCTCCTCCTCCCCCTCGCCCTCCCCCGTCCCTCCTCCTCCTCCGCCTCCTCCATCCTCACCCTTTCGCCTCATCCTCATCCTCTCATCCTGTTCCTCTTCGCCCGCATCCTCATCCTCTTCCCCCTCCTCACCATTAACAATCCTCGCCATCGCCCCCTCCTCCCCCCCCCACCCTCATCCCTCCCCCTCGACCTCCTCCTCTGACCTCTTATCTCTTACTTCTTACTCTCGTCCTCTCATTCTCTTCCTTCCTTCCCCCCCCCCCCCCCTGGCAACGCGACGGCGCCTGCGCCGGCGCTGGTTTGGCGAACTTCAGCATGCCCTGCGGCTGAGAAGCCGCACCCTTGCGCTTGCTGGGCGGCCGCGACATCTGCCACGGCCACGGGCGGGGTGACCACGGAAGAACCAACAAAAAACAAAAACCCTCGATCCTGAAACCGCAGCGGTGGGGGCAGCGGCCCAGGAAGCCGCCAGCGCTGCGCGCAATCGTCTCGTCGCCGCCGCCGCTCAACCTTACACGGCCAGCTCAACCTTACACGGCCAGATCGAGCTTACGCGCCGCTCGCCTGGCAGCCAGCCCAACCTTACACGGCCGGCTCAAGAGGCATGGGGCGCGGTCGCCGCCGCCGCCTGTCGACGTCGTCGACGTCGTCGTCGTCGTTGCCGCCGTCGTCGTCGTCGTCGCCAAGAGCCCAAGACGCCCCAGACCCAAGACACAAGACCCCAGGACGCCCAAGACCCGAGACGCCCATGACCCCAAGACCCAAGACCCAAGACGCCCAAGACCCCCGGACCCAAGATCCAAGACGCCCATGACCCATGGCGCCCAGACACCCAAGACCGAAGACCCCAATGCGCCCAAGACCCAAGACCCCAGGACGCCCAATGCCCAATGCCTTAGACGCCCAAGACCCTAATACACCCAAGACCCCAAGACCCAAGGCCCAAGACGGCCATGACCCATGACTCGAGAAGCTCAGACACCCAAGACTCAATGCCCCAAGACTGGCATCTGGCGGCTGGGCAGGGGCCGAAGGCCACACATTGATAACATGTGACACTCTGTATAGCGTATAGCTGTATAGTGTGTGTAGTGTATAGCGTTGATGATGGCTCGGATGCAACAACAGCGTTGCCTTGCTATTCGTATAATGTGTAATGTGTAATGCATAATGCATAATGGCCCTGGACCCCTCGGGGGGTCCGAACAAACCAGCCTCTCGAACTGCGCCCCGCTGCGCTGTGGCGACGAGGAGGACTACAGGCAGGCTTTTGTCTTTTGTGGAGGATGACGATGGATGGTTGGGTGGTGCATCTTTTCAATGCCCTACTCGTGGCTCTCCGTCTCCACCCTCCTCCTGCTCCATGTCCAGAATGGCCTTGGCCTTCCTGCCATCCTCGGTGCCCTGAGCGGCGAGCGCCTCCAGTATGGCACGCCCGTCGCAGCGCTCCTTCCTCTGAGCCTCCTTGCACAAGAAGCTTTTCAAGGAATCGTGGGCCCCCTTCCCGCCAGCGCAGCAGCTGTGGGAGAGCCAGGCCATGAGCAATCCGATGGGGCGTCGTCGCCTGCCGCCCTGGAGTACCAAACGTCTATCCATCTTGCACTTTGGCCCTCCAAGGTGGTCGAGATTACCGCAATGAGCGTTGACTTGTTTCAATCCTATCGAGAAGTGAAGCGTTCCTCCAGGCACAGGCAGGTGGCCATATCTGCGTGTGAGTATTGGGCCAGTGGACGAGGTGCAATGCCTCGCTGAAGAAATTGCTGCCGTCAGGCAGCACCCGCTTCCGCTCGGCGAAAGTGCAAAACACCTGCGGCAGACCCTGCGGGTGGTGGTGGCGCAAGGCCAACTTAGCGACTGACCACACAGACTCCCATTCAAAATGCCCGGGGCTCTCCTCGTTCTCGACGAACCAGCAGCGGGCCCACCCTGGTAAATCAGACGGCCCCAACCAGCACCTGGAAAAAACCACCTTCTGGGGCGCAAATGATCGGCGAGCTCGCTGCTCTGCGAAGTACAAGACAATTCTGAAACCATTTTCCAAGGCAGCGCCGTGCTCATCGGCGGCCCACACCAGAATGTACTTACCCCGCTTGTCAGGGACGCACAGATTCTCCAAGCTTCTTGCCAACCGCAGTGCTGAGTCGTACACGTCTTCGTCCTTGCTGTAACATAGCCCAAGATGCCTTAAAATGCACGGGAAACGCTCGTAGAAAAGGCGACCGGGCGCGATGATGCCATGATCGTCCGTCGCAGCGTGTAGCCTCGAAGACTTCCGCTGCTTCTCTCCGTAACTCGCGAATCCCGTAGTCTTTCCAACGGCCCGCTGCAGCGCTTCCAAACTTACAGGCCACTGAAGGTCAGGCGATGCCCATGGCGGCAGCTCGCGGGCAATGGGGCCGTTGGGCGCTCCGCCGCTGTCGCCGGCGCTATCGCCCAGCCTGGGGCCACCCTCGATGTCAGCGATGATGGCGGCCCGCTCGTCCATGGACATCTGCGCAACGTCCGCGGCAGCATCTCCCCGCGAAGCCGCGGGGTTGCTCTGCCTCAGCTGCGCCAGCCGCCGATTCACCAAGGATATGTCCGGCCGCGAGCGGCGCAGCCGAGCGTTCTCGCCGTCATACCTTCGGGTAGCGAAAGCATGTCCTCTACTTCTTCCTCTACCTCAACCTCCTCCTCCTCCACCCCCTCCTCTTCTTCCTCGCCCCCCCCCTCATCCACCTCCTCCCCCATCCTCCCTACTCTCCTTCGCATCCTTCTCCTCCAACCCCGATCTCACCGCTGATCCCCCTGATCCCCCCCCCCCCGCCCAGGGACGAGGCGGGGCGGGGGGGGGGCGAGTTGGGGCGGGGGGGAGGAGAGGATAGAGGATGGAGGATATAGGATATGGGATATGGGCATATGGGATACAGGGGTAGGATATAGTTGGGATAGTGGATATGGGGCATAGGGCATAGGGCATAGGGGATGGGGAAGCGCAATACTTAGTAAGTCGACCACCTAGCACCTCCTCCGCTTGAAGCCAACTGGCAAGCCCGCGGCAACGAGCTCATCCCGATCAGCATTCGCGAAGATGTTGCGGCCGCCAGCTTCGAGGTGGTCCCTCCAGACAAAGTTGAGCGCCGCCATCGAAGAGACCGTCGCCGCCTCCGGGACGCCATAGAACGAGGGAAAGGCCTGCTTCACCTCCTTAAGCAGACGCTCCAGCCCCATGTTCGTAGCCCTCCACTTCTTCCGAAGCTCGTGCAACATCGTCTGGAACACATCTGGGCAAGAAAGGGCGTAAGGGGGGCCGGCGAGAGAGGGCCCCTGTACCCATGGACCCACGGACGCCAACGCACTGCAATGCAATTCGCAATGCGCGGCATTCGATTCGACGGATTCCCCATTGTGCCACTGTGCCATTGCCATTGTGAGCGAAATCGGGACGCAGACGAGATGAACGCAATGCAAAACAATGGGTGGGGCGCTATGCGCTATGCACTCATGCAGGGGAAGGGAAGCAAACACCACAACGGACAACGACCTCCCTGGAAACCCTTACCCTTCACCTCGTACACTTGGAAAGCATGGGAAGCGATGTAGAAATCGAAGCAGTCCTGAATAAAAATGCATGAGACCATAAGCCGTAAGGCATAAGGCATCAAGCACAAATCATAAAGCGTAATGCTTGATGTGTCAGTGCATAAGTGCATAAGCGTATAAGCCACCTATGTACCTATGTACCTATGTACCTATGTCCTATGTCCCATGTCTCATGTCCAGTGCCCCATTTGGCGAAGCCCCGCCGGCGTCCCTCCATGTACTCCCGCGAGAAAGAGCCCTGGAGGATTTCAGTAAACCAAGGCCCCAAGCAGCAGCCGTCCTCGTTCATGAAATCGTCCAACATTGCCTTGTCCTCATCGTCTAGCTCCCCCCCGAACGCGACGCCCCCAGCATCGCCCATGCCAAGAGCGAGGATGCGAAAGTCCCACACCTTCCTGACGAGCTCCAGGCGCGCCCACACCTGGGAGGCCACGCGGACTACGGTCTCGGTCAGGGTATCTGCGAGTTCAGGGGTGAAGCCAAAGTGAGACGTTGCCATGTCGCATGGCCAGTTCGTGCGGGATGTGTGCCCAGGGTGGCCCGCATCCTGGAGCAGCAAGAACATGTGCTTGGCTGCGAGATCCAAAGCGCCGTCCTCGTTGAAGAGCTGGTTCAACGAATTCCCCGTTTTGTCGCAGTGCTGCAACACGTTGGAGAGTCTGTCCATGGGCTCTGTGATGATCACTGCGCGGGCCAGCAGAACCCCCGTCTCTTCGGTCGAGAAGAAAGCGATGGCATCCTTGGCCTTCGAGTCGCAGAGCTCGCGCCAATCCTCTGAATCACCCGCGTTATCGTTATTGGCGATGGCGTGCCCATCGTCGATCTCCGCCTCGGAGCCCAAGGAGAGCTCGCCTGCAACCACGAAGGTGCGCCGCGCAATGCCGTGCAAGAAAAAGCCCAAAGCCCCGCCCTCGTATGCAGGTCCATATGTGTGCCACCTAGAAACTGCTGGAGTCCTCTGACTCATGGGGTCGAACACTGCTATCTGAAGTAAGTTGGTAACAATGTCAACGAGGTTTTCGTGCCGTCCCTTACATGGGCACCTCCGGCAATCTCTGCACCAATGCTGCAAGCGCTGCTCCCGCCAATCGCCATTCAGAACATCCAAGAGCTGGTGCGCAACCTCGTCTATCTGCTTCTCCTTGTCCATGTCCATGTCGAGAGAAGCCCGAGTGTGGCGGTTGCGGAGGAGCGTCGCGTGCAAAACCCTGGTCGAGAGGCCAAGAGCCAAGAGTCGAATGCCCGCGCCGCCCCCTCCCCATCGGCCGCGCGCGACTCTGCGCATCGCGCATCGCATCGTTCCCTCTCCCACGCCCTGGCCCGCCACCCCCATCTGCCATCCGCCGCCCCCATCCTCCTCCCACCCCCCTGCTTTCAGGAGCCGCCGCGTGGCCGATGGGGGGGAAAGGACGCGGCGCGCATTGCTTTCTCTTGACAACTCGTGATCCTCTGGTTGTGCTCTCGATTTCCCACTGGTGGATCCATGCCGCGGTAGAAGTGGCGTGACAGATCCTCTCTCACGCAACGATCCAATGCTTGCTTGATTACCTTCCACCGGTTCACGTTGTTCAAAGTAAAACAAACGTTGAACATTTTCGGTACAATGTGCTGGACCTTGAACGAATGGGTTTGCACCGCATTGAGTATATGAGATATGCAAGGTGCCGAAATGATGAACACGTACGTGCCTGCCCCGGCAGCCTTCACCATGGCATTGTGGGCTGAAGCTCTGCACGCCCACAAGGCCTTCACAATCTGGTTGGGGGCCGCCAGGTCGGAGTTCAAGGTGATAACGAGGAAATCCATGCGGCCCCCCTGGATGATCTTCAGGATCCCATCCCAATTAAGATCATGAAATCCATCCTCTAGGCCTTGAGCAATATGCGAGCACGCAGCCGCTGCCAGAAAACGGGGGGGCACGAGCATGCGACGTCGGTGAAGGACCAAGGTCTCCTTGCCAATAAGACGCGGATCGATGGAGCCAGCATCCTCCCAGGCTGCCCACTGGCAGAATAACTCCATGCCCAGAACCTGGAGTATGCCTGACTTCTTCTGCAAAGCCGCGATGCCCCTCTTCTCGGCCTCCTCGGCGGTGAGCAGCTGCCACGTGCCCTCGTCGCCGTCGCGCGCCCAGTGTCGGGCCATCGGTCGAAGCTGTTCAGCATATCTGCCAAAGTTGAGCTTGAGCGGCGTCTCATCCCAAGCAGCTTGCAACCACATCCAGGGCACGTTGACAGCGCCGGCCCGCAAGCCGAATATCAGCTCCCGAATGGCCCCTGATTGAGCTTTCAACGCTGCAGACAGCGTGGTCGCAGCGGCGTCCAGCGAGCGAGATGTCACCCGGTGGGAGTGCTTTGTCGTGGAGCCCAAGCGGCCGAAAGCTTGCAACTGCGTGAACTCAGGTGTCCAAGCCTTGCTGATACAGTGGCCGCCATCAATTCCCTTTGGTCTTGAAGCTTTCTTGCCCTTCCTGCCACTGCGCACCCAGCCGCGACCTTCCTGTGGCATCTCGATTCGGACCCCGAGGTTTGGAGCCGACTTGTTCATTTGCGTCCCCATGGCCTGGCTATGCTTTACAGTACTGGACAATCGATGCGCCATTCTCCTCAATGATTTATTCAAGTTGTGGTACTTTCTCGAGGAAGCTCGCGTGCCTTTATACTCACGGTCGGCTGGGCACTGCAGAGGCCGTGGCGCGCGGAGCCCCAAACGAGTCTGGCGACACATTCGATCCACTCCGATTGTCGATCGCACATGCGGCGGCCCCTGTAATTCGGCTGGCTTGTCTACGTCCAAGCGATCATCGCGGTCCAATCCCTGTAATGCGGCGGGCAGTTGTGCGTCTACATGTTCATCGCCGTCAAATCGTCGTAATGCGGCGGGCAGTTTTGCGTCTACATGTTCATCAGCGTCCTGTAATGCTGCGTCATCAGCGTCCAATCCCTGTAATGCGGCGGGCAATGCTGCGTCATCAGCGTCCAATCCCTGTAATGCGGCGGGCAATGCTGCGTCATCAGTGACGTCCAATCCCTGTAATGCGGCGGGCAATCCTGCGTCGAAATGTGCATCAGCGCCCAATCCTGGCGGAGATGGTCGGCGCGGACTCTGCAAGGGGCTAGGGCTGTTTGCGGACAAGGGCTGGCAGGGGCTGACAGGGCATGGCTGGCAAGGGGCTGCAAGGTCTTCCAGCTTGTCAACATCATCATCGAGCAAGTTGTCAACTCTTATGGTTAGCATACCAATCGAATGTGAATGATGACCGCGTTTGTGCGTTGGGGCAAAAACGGCAATACGGTGGAGGAGGCGGAGGAGGAGCGGGTCTAAACCCAAGGCCCAAGACCCGATCCCCCCAGACGCCCAAGACCCACGACCCAAGACGCCCAAAAGACCAGAGACGCCCGAGACCCGAGACCCAGACCCCCCAGACGCCAAGATCCAAGACCCCAAGACCCAAGACCCAAGACGCCCAAAAGCCCCAAGACCCCGAGACGCCCAAGAAGCCCAAGACCCCAAGACCCAAGACGCCCCAGACGCCCAAGAGGAAATCCGCTGCGCCTCCTTCCATGGGCGCCTCCCCGGCGGTGAATGCACTATGCGCCATTCATTATGCACTACGCAGTGTGAAAATGACTGTTTGCATTGTGCATGGTATGATGAAACGATGTGTTATGCGAGCTGCGAACAATAATACATAATAAGTAATATGATGAAATAATAAATGAAATTTGGGTCCGTGGGGACCATACCTGATATCCGATATGCCACTATGATGCGTCATGGTATGTTGTTATGTCATGTGGTATGTGCTATATGCTATATGTTGTGTGTTGTGTGGTGTGACGTGTCATGTGCCATATGTCATGTGGTGTGTCATGTGTCATGTGTAAAGTATGCGATGCGTCTAGACTCCAGAGAAAAAGCGGCACACGCGCTGCAGTTATGCGCATCGTCGCATCGTCGCATCGTTTTGTTTCGAGCGCTCACAGGGGCACTTCTCGCAACGGCGCGCAGCTTGAGAACTTGGGAAAGAGGTAAGAGGAAAGAGGAACGGGAGAGCGACAGGCTGGATAATATCACCAACAACAAAGCAGAGTTATGACCGAGACAAAAAACAGACAACAAAGAAAGGGAGAAAGGGGAAACAGGCAGAGAGAGGGATATATATATATAGAGAGAGAGAGGGAGAGAGAGAGAGAGAGAGAGAGAGAGAGAGAGAGAGAGAGCGAGATTTAGAAAGTGAGGGGGAAAGAGGAAATATATTGAGAAAGAGCAAGAAATAGCGCGCGCAACATGTCTGCCATGTTGTTTTTGCGTTGCACATGCCACGCGCGTTTTGCCCCGCGGCAACTTCGCTGGCCCATTGGCTTGCAAATGATGAAAGTCTGTCCACACGGCACATATTTCACGCGACACGAGTCTCCATGGGCCCATGGGGCCCCCATGGGTGCCGCTTTCGGCTTTGGGAAGCCACGGACACAGTGCGCGCGCGGATGCGCAATCTGCTTTCCCCGGGGACCATGTCCTTGAAAACGTCGTTCAGATGTACAACACATATGAAGAAAAACATTCTTTTCTGTAGATTCCTAGAAATACACTAGTATTGTCATTCCTGTTCTGTCATTTTGGGCATTCCAGGTA